GGGACTTAAACAAATCCTGGTGATTGAACAGGCTGTTGATGTGTGAAATGCACTTACTCGGAGTTGAGTATACAGACGGTCTTCAACTTGAAAGCAGAATTAGCACCAGAATTTCTGTTGGTGAGCAATGCATGCTGAGCAATTTTAATCAACCAAGGAAGAAAGGAAGGAAAGTGGAGCAGGAGATTTTGGGAAATCATAGGTAGTACTGTTGATAAATAAGGCAGTTAAGTATGTCATGCCTGTTCTTACAACCTTTTATGCAATGGTTATTAAGTGAATCACTGCAGTTTTTAGATGAATCGTGCAATCTTTAAGTGAATTCTGTTTCCCCCGTTGACTTTCTTCATCGGAAGCTGGCTGGTGAGGTCACAAATGACCCCGATGTTGCAATCGTTGTAAATACATACCCATTGCTAAGCACCCAAATTTTGATCATGCGACTACAAGGACACTGTGAAAGTCATAAGTGTGAGGACTTTTTCCAGTGCCATTGCAACTTTGAATGGTCGCTGAAGGATAAATTGAGGACTATCTATTCTACCCCAAAATCTCCTGCTCCGTTTTCCTTCCCTCCTTGGTTTGCCCACCAGTGCTCAGCATGCATTGGCCACCAGGGATGTTTGGTCCTCTTTTAGCCGTTTGTTGGACTAAATCATGGGTAGGCAACCTTGGTTCTTTTATGCCTCGTGGACTTCAACTCCCAGAATTCCTGAGCCAGCCATGCTGAGGAAAAAGGGAGAGGTTTCCAAGCTGAGCCATACTGGCTCAGGAATTCTGGGAGTTGAAGTCCACGGGTCCTAAAAGAGTCAAGGTTGCCTACCCCTGGACTAAATGTTAGAAATCCTTTTAGCTATTTCCCCCCTAAATTCCTTCATGCCTCCTCCTAAGGCTTCATTCCTTCTTGATGTCTGGTTCTACTTTTGTGGTATTTCTTGACTATAAGACTAAACACTCTTGTGTTTCATCCTTCAGGAGCACTGGCACCCCTTCTCCTCTTTCCCCAATGCCTTCTCCGGCTGGCTCAGTCAGCTCCCAGACGGGTTCCAGCGCCAGCAGCTGTGGAAGTAGCAGCCTGGGCTCCTCAGTCAGCGTCCCTCATTATATCCCGACCATCACCTCCTCCTTTGTTAACATCACTTCTTATATTCTGTACGCCTATGACTTCTGGGAACAAGCCGATCTTTTGGCTAGGAAAAATAAGAGTAAGAGTTTGTTTGTTTCTTACTGACTTGCGAATTCACTTTCCTAAAGTCCTATTCCCCTTGAGGACAGTTTTGTGCAGGGTCTAGCAAGTTTATTTGGGAGGGTCCAAAGGCTAGCACAGTGATGGCGAACCTTTTAGAGACCGAGTGCCCAAAAACTGGCCTCGCCCCCGCTCTTCCCCCTGCCCCGCCCCTGCTCTGCCCTCACCCCGCCTGCCTGCAGGGCCACTCATCGCCTCCAGGGCCTGCCGTAGATCGCCCAGCAGCGCCATGGCAGCCACACCCATTGCCCGTGCCCCGCAGCATCAACTGCGCGATGGGGCATGAGGGTAGTCTACGCTGCTTGGCTGCCATGTCCTTGGCTGCACTGCTCCGTGTGGGCCAGGGGTGACTCTTCTCCAGGAGGGCTGCTGGTGAGGAGGGGGTCATGGGGGGAGGCAAAGCTGGGGCAACGGCAAGGGCTCCGAGTGCCGCCTCTGGCACCCGTGCCATAGGTTCCCCACCACTGGGCTAGCAGCATCTCTAAATAATTCTTGGCTTTCCTTGCTGACAAGAGACTCTGCTTGCCACCCTCAGGACCTACTCATAGCCAGGATAAAACAAGTATGAAGTTGGATTGGTTCCTGTAAATCAGATATTTATCAGCTCAGTACAGATTACCAATGAAGGAGAATATTTCTAGCTCAGGGTTGAAATGAAGTATCCTTGGTGCTCTCCAAGTTTGGTGGTTGTCCTGCGGATGCTCCTAACTGGGTAACATCATCAGTGCTCAGTACAAATTCTTCATTTGAAGTATGCTGGCAAGACCCAGACCAAAAAACAATGCTTGCACCAGATTATTGCTACCATTGTTGCTGTATTGATAGTGTGTAGTCTGAAATACATGGATAACCCCAATTCTTGGAAAGGAGAATTATTGCATAGTAATAAAGTGGGTTGCTTATAGGATTAGTATCTATAAGTAACCCATATTGGTAGCCCAGGCCAAATTTTGAAGAAAATAAGACTTAGGAAATTAGCTAAGGGGGAAAAAACTTGAATTTTGCTAAGATAGCTGACGATTAAGTTAAAACAAAAGCCCTTTTCACGATTAATCCTTCTACTTAAGTTTTCTGTCTGAATTGGTATAGAGCAGGGGTGTCAAACTCAATTTCATTGAGGGCCGCATCAGCATTGCGGTTGCCCTCAGGGGCCGGGTGGATGTGGCCAGGGTGGGTGCGGCCTACTGGGTGGGCGTGGATGGGGTGGGTGTGGCCTACTGGGTGGGTGTGGCCAGCTCTACATCGTGGGGGCCTGAGCAGGAGTGGGATAGATCTGAGGGTCTCTGGCAGAAGGGGTGGGACCAGAGCAAGCGCCAAGGCGTGGTCCACTGGAGGAGCCTCACTGTTCCTCTCAGGCCATGGGGGGGGGGGGGGGCTTATGGAGCTAAGACTGAATGCGTTTCAGCATAGATGGCCACCACAAAATTGTACATTGGCTCCCAGCCGGCCTGGGCCAGGGCCTAGGCAGCGGGGGCCATTCCCTCACTGTTTCCAGGATGGCTTCGCGGGCCACATGAAACTACTTCGCGGGCCGCATCCGGCCCCCGGGCCTTGTGTTTGACATGTCTGGTATAGTGTTTCCTGCCTAAGCAGGGGATTGGACTAGATGACCTCCAAGGTCCATTCCAACTTTATTATTATTATTACCTTATATAATACATCTGGCTGGGGAATTCTGGGAGTTGAAATCCACGTATTTTAAAGTTGCCAAGATTGAGAAAATGTGTTCTACAGGTTTAAGGACCATGTTTCATTAAAGAATCAGACATGATGCTTTTTCTTTTTTTTTTCTTTTCCTTTTGGCTTTCAGAATTTTTTTCCAAGCTCAATGCTGCTGCCTGCTTTCTCTCGTTGAACAGCAGCATGATCGAACTAGTACACTACACCCGCCAGGGATTGCAATGGCTGAGACTGGAATCAAACATGCCTTAATGGGTGATTCAAGGTGAGGATTTTGCCTTGGACTCTTTTTGCACTTTGAAAGCCTCAGAAATAGCCTTATGGGCTGACTGGTTGGATTTGAAAAAAAAAAAAAAAAAAAGCACCTGGAACAAGTTTGAATTAAACACGATTTGAAGGGATCTGGCACCACTGGAAAACTTTTAGAGACTGCATTTCTCCTATGCCAATGGGCCACTTAGAAGATAAAGAGCGAAGAAGAGGCCTCAAAGTGGAAGATGCCTTTCTTTCAAAGGACAAAGTGCAATTGTCCCCTTTCTCTACCCCTGCCCCCCCCCCCCATTCCCATCATTGGTTTCTTTGTGTTAATGGTCTATAAACATTTCTAGTAATGAATAACCAGCAAGATAATCGATCAGTCAGCACACATGAAGAAGCACCAGTGAAATCCATTTCCCAAAGAATTTTCTACATCTAAGGATGCACCGATATACAGGGGCCCAGTGCGTGATTCTGATTTTTATTTTATTTTTAAAATGTAAATCACCAACTCATCTCAGTTCTGGCAGGTGGCGGAACCCGGATAGCCGGGTGCAATTCTTCAGCCATAAATTGAATTTTCTGTTAAAACTAAAAAGCGGTCTTCCTGCCAGTCCCGCTTCTCCATGTGCTACTCGTGGCCATTGGTTGCACTATTTCTTCTGTTCTTCTGACCTGTAGCAGGCCTATCCCATTTTTTTCCTAGTTTCTTTTTCCTTTCCTTGTCTGTGTGTTCGTTTGTTTTTGCTATTTGTGACAGCAGTTGTAGCAGTTTCAGCTGTCGTGGGTGGGAGTTTCATGATTCTGCATTTGGCACATTGACAATCTCATGAGCATCTCACGGAATCTACAGTGTCAGAATCGCGTTTGAGCAGAAAGTAGATGTGATGTTGATTCCAACACACCTCTCTAAATTAGGGATATGGTTCTGGTTTATCCCTGGAGTAGCTGTAAGGAAATACACAACTAAGGGGAACGGGTTGTCACTGCTGCTGTTAAAGATGCTGCTCTGTTAGATCTTAGTAGCTCCACACAAAGAGCACCAGGCCGAGAAGGGAGAGACCCTACAAGAATTTCCTAGCACCAAATAAAAGAGGTGGCATTTGAAGAGGCCTCTTCTACGTATATGGAATTGTTGGGAAATATTGAAAGATCTTTGGGAGGGAGGAACTTTGAAGTGTGCCATTTCAGTTCACCTTGCCTAACACGGCAGGTTCAGATAGTGCCTTGGTTAACGCACAATTTTTCATTCATGCTGGCCAGGGCACTGCCTGGCCCAGTTTCTCACGATCCCTTTCATCTGAGAGTATTCTGTTTCCTCAGTTGTAAGATACTTCGTCTACTTGGAGAACCCTAGATTCTTCAGTGCAAGTACATATAGTTATCTCTGGTCCACAAGCATCTCTCTGCTTCTTTTATTAATTTATAAAAATCCCCCATTAATGAGCCTGCTGTATTCGTTTCCTATAACCTGTTAAGCATAAGAAACACAAGCATTCTGTTTAATCTAAAATATATGTTGCCACCCTCTTTTCAGCCATGCTTTTAATCCTCCCAGTCGCATCTGTTATCGCTTGACTTAAGCAGGCCAGTGGGGAAATGAACACCTTCCAGATAAATTATACTTAAGTGTGGTTATAGGTTGGGCTGATTCCCGATTCCCAGAGTCAATAAGTTGGAATCAAACATTTCTGTGTGTTTGCTGTAAATGCAGACAACTCTTTTTGTCGAGTTAATGTAGAGCATTCTTATTTTCCCATAGATTTATTTCCTTACCAACACCAGTAATAAACCTCATGATTTCACATTTTGAAGATAGACTCGATTGTAGAGAATCTTACTGATTCTTTCAGGGCAGATTTGATTTGGTGATAATGCAGTCCCTACAGAGGGGGAAAAAAAAGAGAAAAGCATGAGAGGCATAAGCAAAAGAAAAGCCTTGGAGAATTTCCAGAAATAACCCACTTCTACTTAGGAAAACATTTTTTTTTCTCCTTCCAAGCATTTAAATCCAAGTTAATTAGTCTGAACCCTTCTGAATTGGTGCAAGTCACACACACACACACACATAACAACAGGCTGGTTGGAATTGATGGGTGATAGAAAAACAGCTTCACCTTCCATCTTGCATTGCCTGCCTCTCAAATTGCAATTGGAGAAATGGGGGAAAGCAGAAGACACTGTCTCCGATCCTGATTACTGATGGGCAGAGAGCAGAAGCTGCAGACCCCAAGCACTTTTCGAAGGCTTAGCTCAGGGGTCTTCAACCTTGGCCGTTTTATGACTTGTGGACTTCAACTCCCAGAATTCCTCAGCCAGCGTGCCTGGCCAGGCACGCTGGCTGAGGAATTCTGGGAGTTGAAGTCCACAAGTCATAAAAGGGCCAAGGTTGAAGACCCTTGGCTTAGCTTCATTCCTGTACTGCAGGCATCAGCAGCCTTTTGGGGTCTTAATACGACCCTGCTCCTGATCTGCTGAAACCTCATGTCAGTAAGACGTTGCTCGAGATTACTGACATCTTGGTTAAGACTTTCAAAATTGTGTCAGGTTTTGGGGGATTCTGGGGCACCTCCCAGTACATGTTTTGGTCTCCACAAGCACTACGCCCTATGATACAGGGGCATACAGGGTTCCGATCAGAAATATTTTAACTCACAAAAATTGCTGCAAACGATGTCTCAGGAACGGGGAAAGGACCTCAGAAGATTAGGTTTTAAATGCAACCGGATTGATACCTGCTTTTCCCCAGAGAAGGAATTTGGCCCTGAGTATGGGAGAGTGGGATGGTTGTACCCCGCTGTCTTATCACACTAAAGTGATAACGAAAACTCTGAACCTGGAGGAGAAACAGGCAAACACTAAATGTGTTTTTTTTCACTGTTGCAGATCACACAGTGTAGACCCAGGATCCAGATTTCTCTCTAGTTCCTTCTGTCTTTCCCTCTCTCCCCCCTCTCCTAAACCAGCTAGATCCTTTTGCTGCTGCTTTTGCTTTATTAACTATATTCTGATATAAAGAATCCTCAGTTAAAGGGGCCCCACTTCAGCCCACTCATTGAGCACTTTATTCAAAAGTTTGTTCAATCCCGGAATCTCCCAGAGATTCAGTCGACTTAATCTCCCTGTGAAAAAGGAAACAAAGGCTGCTGTGCATTTGTGCGACTGGTTTTATATGACTGTTCCTAAAATGGTAGAAAGAGAGAGAGAGAGAGAGAGAGAGAGAAAAAGCAATAGAGGTTTCATTTCATAAAAAAAATAAAATAAAAAGTTTGGTATGGTTCAGGAAAGACTGTATAAAATCTCTTCCGGAACCAAAGGGAGGGGGGGGAAAGCTTCTCAGTTTTCCAGAGAAGTGAAGATAATTCTCCAATTTGAAAAAAAAAAAACTTTTCGTGTTCTGTGATATCTTTTTTTTTTTTTCCCTTCTGTTTTAATTTTACATGGAATTGCAGAGAAACAGTCCATTCGTGGGGGTCAGGTTTAGGAACCTTAATTTTTTAATTTCTTTCTTAAAAAGACCAATTTAATTAATGAGCAGAATCCATTTCGTAGGCTCTGATTCCCAGTTCTAAATGCATGTTTCATGAATTTCATCCAGGTCTCCATCCAAGGAGCAAGAAACAAAATGTTTTTTCCATTTTTAAACACAGGTCTGTGGAGCTGCACACGCAAAGCAGCTTTCTTCCCAGATATTTATTTAGAATTATAATTAACATATTTAAAATTGACTATGTTCTATATATCTAAGATAACCATAATTTAATAATTTGCAAGTTCCATTGACACTGGAGATGTGGACTGAACATTAGGTTGATGACAATTTTATTTTTAAAGGGCAATTTCTCTTAACTATCCTTTTTTAATAAAGAAACCATGGGAACAGAGTGGGGAAAAAAATCTGTACATTTAAATTTATTATGGGATGTTGTGTCTCCATCTTGTAAATATTTTCTGCCCTGTATATTGGTGGTATTTCCAGATTGATTTGTTTAAATTCTGTGGGGTAATAAATAAATATTAAATGAAACAGCATCTTTTGTGTCAGTTGCTCTGATCATTAATCTTTAACAAGGGTATTTCCCATGACAGTCTCAAAAGCCAAATAGATCATCAATATGATAGCATTATATTGACAGAACAGAATATTTTTGGATGGAAATGGATTTAGGTATACCAACTATGAAATAGAAGACAAATATGTACCATATCAAAATCCCCATTCCTTCTCAAATGATAACATAATTTCAATAATACAAAGCAGGGTTGATTCCATAGCAATGGATTTAAGGCATAACATTCTTGAATACAGGTAGTTCTCAACTTATGGCGGTCATAAAGTATGTCATCACAACCAACCTCATTTTATAATCTTTTTGCAGCAGCTATTATGTGAATCACCATGGTTGTTAAGCCAACCCATTGTTTGCTGTGGGGCGTTTTTTTTGTCAAATCTCAGAAGTAAATGTTGGCTTCCAGCAAAAACATATTTTTTTTCATGCAAAAACATATTTTTTTTCATGTATCAGTCTTTCCCAGCCTAATATAAAACAGAATTGGGACTGCCATCATGGGTAAGACATGTAAAAAATGTAAATGAAAAATATTTTTTTTTCAAGAGAAATAGACTCTAAAAAGAATTGTGTATTATTAGCATGTTTTATCCATAAACTACTCAACCTGAAGCATGCAGTGTCTCACTTTCAAAGAGTTCTATCAGTTCAGTGGAACGTCAAGAGAAATCAGATTTTATGTTGGATACCAACTAGATGTGTAAGGTGAGTTTCACTGCCTCTCGCAAAGATATCTGATCTGCTACAGTGTAAGTCATGCTACTACTCTAGTCTAACACATAAATTCTTCCTTAGAACACTAGGTGGGTGCTCTGATTGTTTTAAATAAATGGTTTGATGCTATCTATCCCCATTAACTATGTCTATCCATCCATCCATCCCTCTTTCTCTATCATTTGTCTCTATCATCTATCTCAGGATTGAAAAAGGATGCCGAAATTATCTGAACACCTCATATATAAATAGAACACAAATTTAAATTAATAAT